GCACTCCTCACACAAGAACCCCCCCAGCGGGGGGCGGGTGGGGGGAATTCTGGGAGTTGAAGTCCACACATCCTAAAGCTGCCAAGGTTGAGAAACACTGCTCTAGGTAACTAGCTTCACTACTGACCTGCTCTGACATTCAACCAAAAGTTATTCTCCAGTAGCTTAAACCTGTGCAAGTTAGACCCCCCTTTTGGGGTTAGGCAGCAGGAAACTAGTCACCGATCTCTTCTAGGACTGCAGCTTTTCCAGGATTTAATCTACCAATCCTGCTCAAAGGCATTTTTAAGAAGGCACTGTAACAATACAATCCCCTGGAGAGCTGTCAGGGTCCCAAAGTTACAAACATTTAGTAGACATCAACCCTCCTTGATGTTTACCTACCGTTATTGACTTTTTCAATGCATGAATTTAAATCCATGCAGGGGGAACCAGGAGGCCTATCACTACCCCATGCAGATTATTGGCACAATTTCTGCCCTAGACCCCTCTGCAACACATAGAACTGCTGTGGTAGACACAATGGTTTGTCCCTGCCCAGAGTGACACGTAGCAGGATCTTCTCTCAGGCCCACAGGCAGCTGCCTGAACTGGAAGATTCTTGGAAGATTCTTTTCCAAGCATGATTCTTACAGAGTTCTTTTTGCTGGATTTGTTGAGATGAAGCAGGTGGGATTACAAGAATTCCAGCATCCGAACTATTTCCCAGTTAGAACCAATATATTTCCATGGGCATTAGGGCGGATAGCTTTTGATCTTTATATCAGCCTTCCGGTGATGCAGGGAGAAGGCGGATGTTTTATTTATTTTATTTTTATTTCACTGGATTTCTCCGCCGCCCATCTCCCCCATAATAGGGGACTCTGGGCGACTCACAAAAAACATTAAAACTATAAATACATCCAAAATTTAAAACAATACACATAAAACATCCAAAATTTAAAATCTGTTTATCTGTTTTACTGATAAACAGAAAAGCTTGCAGCTGATTGTTTACAGAATGGATTCCTGAATCTTTACCAGTCTGGGGAACCAAGTCTTACACCCTCCAAGGGACAAAACCTCTACTCCAAAACCCCTTAGAAAATCCAAAGACACGAAAGCAAAATTAGCCCTCAAGAACTCTCCAAAGGTCTTGCTAAAGTGGGAAATCCTGATAATTGCATTCTGGATCCCTGCAGAATAAGGACATTTTGTTAAGCCATCACTGAGAAGCCCATGTCATGTCTCCTCCTCTGCTGAGCCAGCCTAATGAATCTTGTCCTTATTGCAAAGATAAAAACCAAGAACAGAGAAGATAAACATAATAGCTGTGTGTACATCCTTGGAGGAAGGATGAATTGATAGATCATCTCCACAGTCCTGCTATACTACAAGCTATGGAGTTTGAGAAGGACGCTACTTCTAGCTAGCCACCCACTTCTAGCCAGCATCTAAAAAGGGTATTGTTCACCTCCAGTTTTGGTCAGGTAGGACTATTCTTCAGCAGCTCTCCTCAACCTGGGGCCTCCCAGAAATGCTGGACTAGAATGCCTATTATCTCCAGGGAAATGGTCATGCCATATGGTTCAGGCCACCAGAAGGACCTTGGGTCTGGGGAGGCAGCTTACAGCCACTGTGGGACGTAGACCTCATTACCCCCCAGGAGGCAAAAATGTCCAGATGGAAAACAAGCTTTGTGTGTGCAATCATAGCACTTTCATAAGTGCAGGGCTCCTGAGCTCTAAGACATGTACTGGCTTAATAGCTCAGGGTGTGTGGTAGACGGCTTTCCACTACTGCAACTGGCCTACAGAAATTTCCCCCATTTTTGAAACCGGATTGTCCCGTATCATAAAAAGAGCAACGTAATCCACAAGTCAAACACAAGTCCAACTGAAGCTGTGGCATCAACTGAATGTAAAATAAAGCTGTAGCTAACATTTTTCATGTTAGTGCCCAGAGGTCTTATGCCAAATTTAAAGGTTCTGAAATTAAGATTTTGGAACCCTCTTAGCAGCTTCCCTTTTTCTTCCTAAAACCTAAACAGTGGAAGAGAAATGTGTGTGACTGGAGTTGTCACACCCTGAAATAGCATTTCAGTAAGAAATAAGAGTAATCTGTACATGAAGCTTTTTCATTCCCTCCAACTGACTGCCCTCCAACACATTTCTCAATTTTCAACTTAACTAGATCTGGCCATTGGGAGAAAAAATGTTTCATACAATTCAATACAATCAAAATGAACAGCAAACAGTTCAAAACACCACTAATATCAGAAGAGCAGTAAAGGAAGAAGGGCAGGAAATCCAGCATGTTTCCCCTGAGGTCAATTTGGGGGGGGGGGATCCACATCCCTATAAATCACTCTTCATCTTGACAGGGTCATAATATTGGGAAAGAGATCAATACTGTCTTCAAAACCTAGAATAGTACTGCCAACCCCTCTCTGGATAAGTAAATCCTTCGCAAGTCACTCTCCATTTCACTTTTCAGGTTGGTGTTACAGATCTCAAGAAACTCATAAGAAGCTCCTAAACTCCTTTAAGCCACTTCTTGGTGGTACTGGGAGATCATGTGATTTATGAACCTTGTCAAAGTTATGATATATTTAGCCATGATTTATAGAGTATGCCATAGTTGGCTGGGTTCATTCAAGACAATAAGCCCTGAATCCTGAGAGCAGCCAGAGCCACCAACAGGCCAGCAGACAGCTCTCCTGGCATCTTCCAGGCTCCCTGCTTCCAATGGTTTTATCTCTCAATTATTTTAATACTGAAAAATGAGAACTTAGCATGCTCTAAAGCAAAGCCCCAACCTCAGCTGTAACACTGTTTTTCCCCCATCTGGGAATCTCCCACAAACCAGAGATGTTGTTATAAAACAAAATTACAGATGGGCTCTGCACTATGTTTTGACTTGAAGTATAGCACCTATTTTCTAGGTTGATGGTTAAAGTAGTACGGAGCATCCCGGGAGGCTAGAAGGGATAGCAGGCATAATTGCACCAGCTTACCCCCTAGAAAATGGGCATTTTAATTCTGGCAACCCCCACCACGGCAGTCATTTTGTCAGACAGCACGGCATTCTTCAAAAGGATGGAAACCCTCACACTGAGCCAAATTGAGTAAGCTACATTTTGGCTTAGTATGGGCAATGAACTCAGCTGCCGCTTAAACCAGACTTTCTGGTTCTGCACATGGTCAAAGCAATGAATTATCTTTTCTGCGCATGAGAAAAATCTAGCTGGAACACAAGACTGGTTCACCCAGACTGGTTCCCACATGCCAACTGACCACAAGCCAAATAGAGGGCTCGGGGGCATCGATGCTGCCTGCTTCTCGGCACCCTACCTCAAGACATCCTAGCAATCTATTCTGAAAAACCAAGATAGTAATTTGCAACCTTAGAAGAATTATGCAAAGAAACGAGTATCTAGTCCTGCTAGGCAATCCTACGACTTGGTTTATGCTAAATCATAAATGTTGTTTGGTTCAGAATGTTGTGCCTACCCAGAAATTCTGATCTGTAAATTGAATTTTAGTGATGAATGAACCCAGCCAATAATGATCTATTATTCAAATCACGGTGAAGAAATGGCTCAGGGATGTGTGAATGCAATCTGTGTGTCCTCTATGAAGACAGCCTCATTAATTTCCAAGAAGCTTATGGCCAGGTAGGCAGGTTTCGAATAGGAACCAAAAACAAGGGGCACACAGAGTTTCTGAGATTGTATTGGCTCGCGTCCATTTTTGCTTCGCCATGCCGTAGTGACAAAAGACATTTCAAACCAGGATGAGAGACTGACTCACAGGCAGTGCACTCTTTGAGATGTCCGAAAGAACCCCCCAGACTCAGACTGTCCGCCAAGGAGCTGAGAAATGTCAT